TAACAACTCATTTCGATTACATAGATAAGTATATTTTTAGAAGGTTTATATTTAGTTATATTAATTATATTATTTTTGTTTATTAGTTTCTTTTATATTTATTAGTATGTGTCACAACTTATTCATATTATTTCTTATATTTAATATTTTTTTTAAAAAACTTTATAATCTTGTTCTTCCACATGTTCTTAACTGTAGATTTTGTCAAAAAAAACATAATATAAAGTATAGAATTTTTTCGATCATCTGCCTCATTATATATCAAATATTTGTATATCCTGCATTATATTATATTTAATTACAATCTTTTAATTAATATTTTAATTAAATATTTACAATTCATAAATCATTAATAATATTGTCGAGTAAACTTTTGTTCATAAAATTTTTAAAAATATATTATTTTTATTGATTTGCTTATGTTGAATTGAGAAAAGTTATGTTTTTTAATTACATATAGGAAGGATATAAGATTTTTTATATTTTTATTTAGTATTTATTGAGTAATTGTGTTTACAATTTTTCTATTAAAAATATATTAAACACTTGAACTTTTTAGTTCCTATAATTTTTTTTCATAAATCACTCATTATTTTATCCCAAGATTACCTATTAATTTACCAATTGTGTTACAATTCTTAAATATTAAATATTATATAATTAAAATATTTCTTGTTTTATCTGTTCAAATATGATAATTATATTATATTAAGAAAACTAATATAGTAAATAAAAAAGTTATTTAAAATTAGAATAATAAAGACTTTTTTCCAATCTATATGTATAAATGTACAAATAACTATTGTCTATCACCTCAAATTTACACATAAAATTAATAAGAACAAAAAACTAACAAGCATTTAACAATTCAGTTCGATTACATCGATAAGTATATTTTTAGAAGGTTTACATTTAGTTATATTAATTATATTATTTTTGTTTATTAGTTTGTTTTATATTTATTAGTACGTGTCACAACTTAGTTATTTTTCATATTATTTCTTATATTTAATATTCTTTTAAAACTTTATTTTGTTCTTTCACATGTTCTTAACTGTAGATTTGTGAAAAAACACATAATATAAAGTATAGAATTTTTTTCGATCATGGTGCCTCATTATATATCAAATATTTGTATATCCTATATTATATTATATTTAATTACAATTTTTTAATTAATAATTTAATTTAATTTTTACAATTTATAAATTCATTAATTATATTGTCGAGTCAACTTTTGTTCATAAAATTTTTAAAAATATATTATTTTCATTGATTTGCTTATGTTGAATTGAAAAAAGTTATGTTTTTTAATTATATATAGGGAGGATATAAGATTTCTTATATATTTTATGTAGTATTTATTGAATAATTGTGTTGACAAATTTTCTATTAAAAATATATTAAACACGTTAACTTTTTAGTTCTTATAATTTTTTTTTTTCAGAAATCACCCATTATTTTATCCCAAGATTACCTATTAATTTACCAATTTAGTTACAATTCTTACTTATTAAATATTATATAATTAAAATATTTCTTGTTTTATCTGTCCAATATGATACTTATATATTATATTAAGAAAACTAATATAGTAAATAGAAAATTTATTTAAAATTAAAATAATAAAGATTTTTTTTTCTAATCTACATGTATAAATGTACAAATAACTATTGTCTATCACCTCAAATTTACACATAAAATTAATTAGAACAAAAAACTAACAAGCGTTTAACAGCTCATTTCGATTACATCGATAAATATATTTTTAGAAGGTTTATATTTAGTTGTATTAATTATATTATTTTTGTTTATTAGTTTCTTTTATATTTATTAGTATGTGTCACAAATTAGTTATTATTCATATTATTTCTTATATTTAATATTTTTTAAAAACTTTATAATCTTGTTCTTCCACATGTTTTAACTGTAGATTTGTAAAAAAAACATAATATAAAGTATAGAATTTTTTTCAGAAATCACTAATTATTTAATCCCAAGATTACCTATTAATTTACCAATTGAGTTACATTTCTTACATATTAAATATTATATAACTAAAATATTTTTTTTTATCTGTTCAATATGATACTTATATATTATATTAAAAATACTAATATAGTTAATAAAAAAGTTATTTAAAATTAGAATAGTAAAAGTTTTTTTTTTTCTTCTAATCTACTTGTATAAATATACAAATAACTATTGTCTATCACCTCAAATTTACACATAAAATTAATAAGAACAAAAAACTAACAAGCGTTTAACAACTCAGTTCGATTACATCGATAAGTATATTTTTAGAAGGTTTATATTTAGTTCTATTAATTATATTATTTTTGTTTATTAGTTTGTTTTATATTTATTAGTACGTGTCACAACTTAGTTATTATTCATATTATTTCTTATATTTAATATTTTTTTAAAACTTTATCTTGTTCTTTTACATGTTTTTAACTGTAGATTTGTCAAAAAAAGACATAATATAAAGTATAAAAATTTTTTGATCATATGCCTCATTATATATCAAATATTTGTATATTCTATATTATATTATATATAATTACAATTTTTTAATTAATATTTTAATTAAATATTTACAATTCATAAATTCATTAATAATATTGTCGAGTCAACTTTGTTCATAAAATTTTTAAAAATATATTATTTTCATTTATTTGCTTATATTGAATTGAGAAAAGTTATGTGTTTTTTAATTATATATAGAGAAGATATAAAATATGATGACATTAGTATATTACCAATTTGCCATTAAAAACATGTGAAATTAAGGGTCTTTTATGTAGTTCATTTTTTAATTAAAAATATAAATAAAATATGATGTGTATTAGTGTATTACTAAATTGCCTTTAAATTTATTTCAAAGTAAGGGTATTTTAGGCATTATGAATTTTTACAAAAACACTCATACTTTTAAAGTAGTATAGATATAGATATAGATATAGAAATGCCGTGAGATTTATCTTAGTGCAAGTGAGGAAATTGTCTCCATTTCTTAAGTATGAGGTGGCCTCATTTGAGGAGGTTAGTGATGACTAAGCTAATTTAGGGATGATTAAGCATCCTTAAGCCCTCCAAGTCTAGCAAATGGCATGATATGATTGGTTAGAAAATTCTCCCACCCCTTCATCAATTTTTAGTCTTAGTATATATGGGGAAACTTGGGAGAAAAATCAGCATTTTAATGCATGTATTAGTATAGAGTGATATAGAGAGCTTTCCTTAGTAAGAGTTTCCCTTAGTCGCAAGCACGCGGAGCTTAGTCGCAAGCACACTCGAGAGCCACCGCGCGCCAGGGGCGTCCTTGGGCCCGTGCAGGCTGGGCGACCGAACAGGGCCTCCAAAAATGAAGGGCCTCAAGATTTATTAAGCCTACTAAATATATATAATACTTTGGGCTTTTTTTTAGTTAGATAATCAGCCCAACTGCAATCTACTTTGGCCCAAACAAGGCCTGCTAGTGCTGCTGTTGGACACGATCGTGAGTTGTACTTGTAGAGACGGAGAGGTGCCTGGCTGCCTAGTGCCTGCCGCCGTTCCAATTCAGTATTGACGTACGCACGAAGAGTCGAAGACGAACGAAGCCCTTCGTCCATCCGGCGTCCGCCGTCATCAGGTCAGGTTCCTCGCGCCGTGGTGGCCTCGTCCTCGCCGCTATTCCCATTTTGGAGATCGAGCCTCGAGGCCCAAGGCCGTCCTCGGTCCTTCGAGTTGGAGCTTGCCAGGTAAATTACACGCTCACGACCAGCCCCTATTTCTATTTTATTTAGTTAATTAATCTTGGTACACAAAATAATCTGTGTTGTTGTTCCAATTTGCAAGTAATGTCTTCTTCAAGTTCAAATCGGATTAGAAAATTTGAATCAGGCCATCAAAAGCGTAAGAAAAAGCAAAGAATTGAGGAATTAAGTCAATCTCTAAAAGGATCTATGGAGAGGTTTATTATTAGAGAACCACAAATTTCTTCTCCCAATAATGATACAGCTGGGCAGGGCACTACACAAGATACAAAAAATGTTGATGATCAGCCAGAGATAGAAAATATTGTTAAGCAAGTGCCTAATAATGATGACACTAACACTGATGTTAACTTGTATAATTCTCATGGTGCAAATGTTGATGATGTTTCTTTCCAGCTAGATATTTTTGATCCAAGGTATTGGGATTCCCTAGATCCTAAACAGATTGATATTCTAGCCGAAAAGGGTCCTAAAAGAGATTTATCAATTCAGAAAGGTCCTAAGGATAGATTTTCAAGAAGGTTTTCTGCATTATTCTACACTAGAATTCTATCAAATGGAGAGGAGTGTGATAGAGATTGACTTGTGTATTCCAAAGAACTTGACAAAGTATTTTGTTTTAGCTGTAAAATATTCAGTAAAGGACATGGAAAAGGTAATCTGGCCACTTCTGGATTTAATGATTGGGCACATCTTAGTGAAAGACTCAGAGAGCATGAGACAAGTGCAGATCATGTTTCAAATATGACAGCTTGGTATGAGTTGCGTAATAGGCTGCAAAAGGACCAAACTATTGATAAATTTGCTCAGCGACAACTTGAAAAAGAAAAGGAACATTGGAGAAGAGTTCTATTCAGAATAGTGGCCATTGTAAAATTCCTTGGCAAACATAATCTGGCATTTCGTGGTCATAATAGCAAACTGTATGAAGACAACAATGGAAATTTCTTGGACATGGTATAAATGTTGGCTGAATTTGATCCAGTTATTCAGGAGCATATCCGTCGAATTACAAATGATGAAACTCATGTCCATTATCTTGGCCCTAGGGTCCAAAATGAGTTGATACATTTGCTTGGTTCTGCTATTAAATCTAAAATTATTAAGAAAATTAAGGAAGCAAAATATTTCTCTGTCATACTAGATTGTACTCCTGACGCAAGCCACCAAGAACAAATGTCATTAATTATAAGGTATGTGGATTCATCTTCAGGTCATGTTCATGTTGAAGAATCATTTATGGGATTCTTGGAGATCAATGATACAACTGGTCAAGGTATTTTTGATGTGCTAGTGAAAGAATTAAAGAATCTTGGTCTTGACATAGATAATATCAAAGGACAAGGCTATGACAATGGGTCAAATATGAAAGGAAAACATCAAGGTGTACAAAAGAAACTTCTGGATATAAATCCTAGAGCTTTCTATTCTGCTTGTGGCTGTCATAGCCTTAATTTAACACTATGTGATATGGCCAAGACTTGTGGTAAAGCCAATGATTTTTTTAGAATCATCCAACGTATCTACACAACATTTGCAAAATCTACTAAGAAATGGCAGATTCTGAAAGATAACATAACTGGACTAACTCTAAAGTCAGTGTCATATACTCGCTGGGAGAGTCGTGTTGACAGTGTTAAAGCTATTAGGTTTCAATGTGCAAATATTCGGGAGGCTCTACTTCAAGCATCTGATAGTGATACTGATCCTTTGACAAGAAGTGAGGCTAAAGGTTTAGCAAATAATGAACTTGGAGAGTATGAATTTTTAGTGTCAGTGGTCATTTGGTATGACTTATTATATGCTGTTAACCTAGTAAGCAAAGAATTGCAATCACAGGATATGCTAATTGATGTCGCTATTGAGAAAGTGCAGGGATTGATATCTTTCTTCAACCAATATAGAGAAACTGGTTTCTCAAATGCACTAGAGGCAGCTACAGAAATTGCACTTGACATGGATATTGGTACATCATTTCGTAAGAAAAGGAAAATTAAAAGAAAGAGGCATTTTGATGAGAATCCGGATGACTCAAATGATGCCACAGAATCTGTAGAGGAATTATTTCGACGTGAATATTTTATACCAATTGTTGATCAGACTATTTCCTCTCTTACTACAAGATTTGAACAGTATCAAGGTTACAAGAAAGACTTTGGTTTCTTATTTACTTCCGATGCATTGCGTTCTTTGGATAATAAGAGCTTGAAATCTTCTTGTCAGCATCTTGGGGCTGTACTTAAACGAGATGGACAATCTGATATTGATGCCGATGACCTTTATGTCGAGTTGATTTTTCTTCAGGATTTTATTCCATAAGAAAATAAAGGCCCGGTCGAAATTCTGAATTTTTTGAAGCGACATGAGTGCTTCCCCAATGCAACCATTGCATACAGAATTCTATTGACCATTCCAGTGACTGTTGCATCGGCGGAGCGAAGCTTTTCAAAATTAAAGCTGTTGAAGACCTACTTGCGAACTACAATGACACAAGAAAGACTTAATGCATTGGCATTAATAGCACTTGAGAGTGGCATGCTGGAGCAAATTGAATATGAATATATCACTGAAGATTTCATTTCAAAGAATGCTAAAAGAATATCACTTTTCAAGTGATAGTTGTTCAACAGAACATGTATAATTCTTGGTTATGCTGCTATACTTTGTGATATAAGTAATAGATTAGTTGATATTTGTTATTTATTTTTTATTTTGTTAAATGTTAGGCCTCCACATAGTGCTTTGAACTGGGCCTCATATTTTTTCGGGACGCCACTGCGCGCGCACACGAAGGTGCATCATCCGAGCTACCGAGAGTTGTGTAATTTAGCCGAGCGTTCGAGGAGGTAAGCTCGGTTTACCTTCTCTTGATATTATTAGAATCATGTTAGATCAATTTTGTTCAAGTCAAGTTCATGATTTCTATAATTTCTCTTGGCCATGCGCGTTAAATCATGTCGAGCATGTTCATGTTTTTGTCCGAAACTCTCGAACAATTTTCATGTATTCAGCCATTACATGCCATATTATGTTCAGTTAGCTCATGTTGGACGAGGAATTTTCATGTTTAATCGTTGAGTTGGCCAAAGGGACGTGGGTTGCGCACGTAGCGC